TCAGCAGGGGGGCTCCAGGCTAGGGGAGGGGCTCTGGGCTTGAGATGTGAGCTTTGGGGTACAGGAGGGTGTTCGAGGTGGGGAACAGGGTTAGGGCTGAGGCTTACGTTGGTGTCTCACTGCTGGAGATGGTGAGGAGAGGCTCCTTTTCCCCCAAGACATGGCAGCTCAGTCCTGGGGCTGGTGGGGAACAGGCATCTCCCCTGCAAACCTCACCTGCTTCAAGGCTTGGGGAGAGCATTTTTGTGGGTTGTTCACCTCACCAAAACATCAGACACATAACAAGTGTCCATCAGAAACCGGCATCGCTTCATGAGATGAGCCTCATCTTTTGAAGCCTGGGAAGATAGGGATGTTTGACAGCTAACTGTTCCCACTGTAAGGAAACTATGGGGAAAGGGAAACCCAGAGAAAAACTTTTATTTTTTTTTAATTACTAGCTTATAAGTGGAACTAGCTATTAAAAACGTTCTTAATTATCTGTTTCTAGTTCTTTTGTGAAGAACTGAACACTGCCACAGAGGTCCATCTTAGGGCAAAGATGGCTGAAAAGGAACTGGAGGGGTTGGGTTGCGCATACGCTAGATGAGGCACCATCTGTACTAAGAAACATCTACTGCACATGAGCAGATGCTACCATAAATCTCCAATTGATGGCACCAGGACACCTGAAGTGAAGCGGCCACAGAGACATCACTGGAAAAAGCCTTATGTTCATACTTTTTACAAAATTATAATGGATTTTATACAAAGTATGCCTTGTGAGGTATCATTTAAAAACTCAATTTGCTGAACACTATTGTCCCGGTAAAAGGTATGTCACAACACCATATGCAAAGTTGTAAGATGCTACTGGATAAACACTTCAAGTTTAGAAAAGTCAGTGTACACCAGTTCACACCAGTTCCTGTGTGTGTGTGTCTGTCTGCGTACGTCTGTGCGTGCGAGAAAGACCCTGCTTTGTGGAGATAGGATAGAGAGTGAGGGGGGGTTGACTGGAGGGGCACCCTGACATCGACACTCCTCTCCCCTAGCAAGTAGGAGACTCCAGGGAGCAACTCTAAGGCACAGGGCAGGAGCAACACGGCAGTGGCCTGAGGGGCAGGTGAACTTCAGCTATCCAGCTACACACTTAGGAGAGATGATGGGAGGCTGCCAGCCCATCCTATCCTGGTTCCAAGCACCCATAAGGACCAGTTGCTTTTCTAGAAAATCTTGCAAGTAATGGAATTAGGCAGCCAAATGAGCTAATAAGGGAGCATTGCACAACTTTAAACAAGCAATGTAAAATGAAACATCATTAACTGGGACAATGTTCAGTGAGTAGTTACTAAACCTAAACCCTGTGTGTTTGAAGTGTTTGGGAAACATCATTTGAATAACATTTGTACACATCATGTTCTATTAATTAAATTAGAGACTTTATATGAGCTTGTACTGTCCAGGAGGAGATAAGCAGTACAACACTCACATTTCTTGGGGAAAATCTGAACTGGAAGTTTGCTAGTGTTGCCCTGAAGTATAGTTCATGGGTATAGCTCATATAATAGCCGGGAGTGATTTACATGCTGGAAGCTGGGTGTTGGTATGCCAGAAGTGATTGCTCACAGCAAAGAGGTATAAAAGGAACCTTAGGTTGGAGAACTGAAGGGATGGAGCTGTCCATCAGTCCAGTTTGCAACCTGGATAATGTCACAGTGGGTACTTCTAAAAAAGGAAAAGCACGCTTTGTTTTATATCTAGATGTAGTTTACTTCACACATGCGAGTAACTGTGCCCATGTGTGTTTTTTTCATATTGTATTAGTTTGACTCAAGGGGCTTGGGAGCTTGGATTTTTGTCAATGCATGGAAAAACATGATTTTGTATGGTGTTATTGTCAAACTATTTTTTGAAAGAAGTTTTAATTTAATACAATCTCCTTAGCAGTAAATTCTTACCTTTATTATTATAGACATCCAAGTAATTAGGTGCAGAAAAAATTGTTATTAATGATGGAAAACCCGTAGTTTGGCTTTTTCTGTACATTCTATACCTGTAAAACAAACAGCTTCATTTGTATCAAACAAACGATTATTTTGTATTATTGAATAATTTTTGTAAGGCCCCAAAACACTTACCCTGCGTCTTGTGCTTCGTGAGCTCTAATTATGGACAACAAATTGTTATTTTGCAAAAATTCACAAACCGCTGGATAGCTGTAAAATGAAAACAACAATGAGTATAAAATTTTTTTTTTAGCAACATGTAACTCTTAGTACTAAAATATTAATTAAATCCTAGATTTCTTTTTACCTATAAAAATAGGAGCATCCCCTGACTGTATTATGATTGAAGTGCTCTTGTGATTTTTCATTTCCAAAATCTTCTGAGGGATCTGACCACAATATGTCACACATTGGTCCAAATGCAGGAGGCTCTTTGAATCTATCTAGCTGTTTAAAAAAAACCCACAAAATTGATTTAAATATTATATAGGCCAATTTTGCTTCTTTACCTTTATCGTTTATATATCCACCAAAGCCAAAGTATTTCAGAGTAAATAGCACACATAATAGGAGACAGGTAGTAAAAAATTTAGCCAAAGTATTTCAGAGTAAATAGCACCCATAATAGGAGACAGGTAGTAAAAAAAAATTTTCTTCTGTGCAAGGCAAAGGCATGCCAAAAACAATATGATGACTTGAACATACAACAATAGAGAACAATGAAGAATTAATTATTAGAAGAGGTTAGGAAACCTCCAGACTGATGGAGGTGTAAGTTTTGAGAAAGTAAATTTACAAAGAAGGAACAAAATTGTCCTTTCCAATCGGAATTAGTAAGCAATAGCAGCATAGAAAAAGTACAATAAAAGGGAATTCAGAAGAACTACCAGCTAGCATGACCAGACAACCAAATGCAGCATCCAAAGAAACATCCACATTAGACTATTTCTTCATTCCTTGATTAAACAATCATGTAAAGATCTCTGCAGATTTTTTTCATAGAAAGCTTTATTGCTCTGACATAACATTGCTGTGAACCTTGTGGAATGGGCCTTAAATTTGGAGGAGACTTTTTACTTTTTCTTTAAAAGGCTTCAGTAAAGTCCTTTCTGACCCATTTGGAAACACTTACTTTAGTGGCTCGGTTCCTTTTCCAGTGACCAGAGAGAAAAATTATGGGACTAACTGTATTAGCGGTCAGGAAGAGAAAGCTATTATTCCCTGTGAACCAGACACAAAAGGAGCATGGATGTACAACACTCTGAAACACTGTTTTACATATAGACAAGTCACTCCATTTTACAGACAACATAGAAAAGGACAAAGATGTGGCAGGTTCTGAGAGACTGTGCGGCTAAGTGGATGTGTGTCTGATATATTAAAGAGCTGGGTTCTAGTCTCATATTGTGGAGCATTTTAGTGGGGGTATGATACAGAGCTTAATAGTTGCAAAGAGCACAATACTGTAAATATCAGTCAGCAAAAAAGTTAATTTAGAACTAATTCTCTTCTAGTTCCCAGTAATTTGCATTTATTTCTGCTCAACAAGATTTCATCCTATTCCCTGGCAGTGGAAGGGCTTCTGCTCCATGTGGTGTCCTCCAGAGAGGAGGATTATTAGTTCATATGTTGGGTTGAGCAAGAGTTGTTGGAGTCATCTTTTGGCAGCCGCTAAACTAAGTTTCTGTTCCCAGGATTTCTAATGCAGCTTATGCTCCTGTGATTTGTTACCACTAGTGCCACCAGTCTTAGAAGATTCAGGGTGTTTGGTGTGCTACCAAAATGTATCTGTACAACACAAGCGATGGTCAGAAAATGAAGATTTTCAATTATTTATAACCTAGCCAAACATAAATGGAATTTCCTGGCACATGCAAAAGGCACTTCCTCAAACCCAGGGCTATTAACCTGCTGTGATCAAAACTTGCTGCACACAATGGAGATCTGAGAGCTCAAAAAAAGAAAAGGTTCTAAGACTCTTTTATAATGGAAGATGTTGAGCAACTCAAACATAGAAATTATCCTAATTTCTAGGGCGTTTCTAGACTATGCCGAATGGTCAAAAGAGGATATGCAAATTCCACAGGAATTTGCATATCTTCTTCTGATCGTGCTTTCGAAAGTGAAAGTAATTAAGACGCGGCTTTTTTGGTGAGCTGCCCCCTTCGTCGAAAAGCCACTCTTCCTTAAAAAAATGAGGTTTACGCGGCTTTTCTACAAAAGGGGGGTTCGCTGAAAAAGCCGCGTCTTAATTACTTTCACTTTCGAAAGCACGATCAGAAGAAGATATGCAAATTCCTGTGGAATTTGCATATCCTCTTTCGACCATTCAGCGTAGTCTAGATACACCCCTAGAGTCAGAAACTCTCTCGCTGTCAATATCTCCTAAGGTATCTGAATGAATCTTGCCCATTATAGCTACTATTACACCTTTGTATGAGAAGACATAAGCTTCAGTACAGGGCTCCATTCTTAAAAGTTTGACAAGTGGTAAAGAAATACAGAAATTAAATTAGCCAGATCTTTACAGAAAGATGGTATTTCCCTGTGGTGTAAGAATCACTCAGTATAAACAGAACTGTAAAATTCAGAGAGCTTTACAACAGAAATGTAAATGGTGATTCTTCTTTGGCTTTCTTGGCCTGTGATCTCCAAAATTCAGCTTCCCCAGCAGAACCAATAACATATTATCAATTTCTCCTAACGCATCACACAACTCATAGATGACAAAAAAAAAAAAGCAGACTAGAACATTTTTTAGGAACCAAGACTGACTTGGTTTTTCATTTTTCATGCAGTTGGCTTGTTACCAGTTACACAATTCTTCCTTTCCCACCCCTTGCTGCCACCTTTTAAAAGCAGACCTGCCAACACAGGGTGAAAGACGACCTCCTTTCAGGACCTTTATTAATTGCAGATAAGGATGTGAACAGGTAACCAGTTAACCGTTTACCCAGTAAGCCTCACCCTTAATAATCAGTAACACTCTTATGGAGAAGGAATCAAATGCTATGCTCAAAATGTCAGATGAAAAAAGTTTAGTTATGTGCAAACAAACTGCAAAGAAATATTCAAAAGAGAAAGCAATAGAAGATTAAAAATTGTAATATGATAGGACCATCACCACCTGATATTAATAATCTATATGAGGTAAAACCCACTGACAAACATGTAGGAATTATCAGCCAGAAAGCTTGATATCCCAAAACTTGTATTCCACTAAAATGAAACCACTGATACACTAACTATTTAACATCACGCAATTTTTTGAAGACATATGCTCATCATCTTTAATTACCTATAACTACAGCACTTTCCATACAAACAGGACTATTTCAAAAGGCTGCTGGTGAAATAAATGCTCTACCGATTGTCCATAAGAGTAATTCAGGTTGTTGAATTATTACATTAGATTACAACTTTACAAGTGCAAGGTATTTCAGAGAAAAATATAAATCCACATTATCAAGTTAGAAATACACGTTTTCAAATTAAAATTACATTTATATTTCGAAAGAAATCTCTTATGAGAAGAAAACAAATCAAACTACAAAGTATGATTCATTGCATACATTCTTTACATGATATAGCTATATTTAGTGAGAACTATCCTATTTTAAAACTGAAATCTGCTTTTATCAAAAATTTCTGGTTCTCAATATAAATTTTGTTTTTCTAAATAAACTTAAGGGAGTCAAATCAGAATGGTCATGTGGACTTCTAATATTTCTTTGATATAGAAATCCAATATAAAAGCTTTGCCAAAAGTTAGAGGTAATATGTTAGAAAATGGCATAAATAAATGTCAAATATACAAAATTTAAAGTACTTAAAATATAATTCTACATACAGCTGTGAAACGCAACTCAAGCCTGGTTACTTTAATACATCAATTGATTTTTAAGGCAACGCTTAGTGTTTACAAACTCAACCCTGCAACATGCTAATAAAACTCTAGCCCTTCTACAGTAAGTAACTTAAAGTGTGTGCATGAATTAAAAGACCAAACTCTAATAAATTTTTTGGTACAATAACATTACTCTAGAAATTAAGTTGTTTAACTGCAATTATGGCTATGTGCTTGATATAATAAAATCTGTGATTACTCATCTTCTTCACAACAATATTTTTTTAAAAAAAACCCTGCTCTACAATCCAAGTGTGGGGATCCTGTCTTGCGCTTATAAAGAGCCAGTAAAAACCAAAGACTAATACACTGGCCGGCTCACAAGAGAGTGACCATTGAAAGGAATCACACAAATCCCCCCATCCCCATTTATTTTAGAAACAAAGACATACTCACTCTCTTAATGTCATCAAGTGTGTTTATTTCAGGTGAAAGTCCACCATGAACACAAAGAAACTGTTGGTTTAAAAGTGCAGCAAGAGGAAGGCAATCAAAAGCTTCCATACAAGCATCATAGACTCTTTCTGAATACTTTATTTTACCTGTAGAGAAGAAAAAACAACGACTATTACATAAAATGAAGAAACTGCTCTAAATGTAAAAACATTCTTCTATCGCAAATCCTAAAAATCAGAAAAACAGCACATTTTATTAAGCTTAAAAATCAAGACATTGGCAAAGCTGCTTCAAGAAAAAAAAACACTTTACAAAACTTTAAACTTGTATTTGCCTCTTCCTCTGCATCCTCAAATATAAAATAGACACAAATTTTTAAACTAAAAAGTGTTAAATAATTCAGAAAAATGAAAATAACTTTTAAAATCATGCTTGCCAATTATATAGAATAAGCAGCTATAAATGGTGAGTTTGAGATCTTTTGAGTGACAAGGTTATTGACTTCTGTGCTGATTTTCCACAAACATTTCCATAAAAATTAAGCCCCAAAAGATTTTAAAAGCTGCATGGATGTTAATATACAAATACACAGTTCAGTTCTGCACACACTTGCTCCCACCATGCTTATAACTGCTTGTTGTTCCACTTAACTCAATGCAACTACGAGAGAGAACGTTTGCAAGAGCAGTCCCTTAACAGCATTTTTAGATAAAATTACCTCTTCAGAAAAACAACATCAGACTGAAAGTACTAGTTTGGCAATACTACATTCCTATACAGTACTTACATTCTTGCTTAAAGGTAAAATATTCTGTGAGGTGTCTGCATTCATGATTGCCTCTCAAAAGAAATAATGTATTTGGATACAGAATCTTCAAGACCCATAAGTACAACACACACTGTTAAAAACAAAAGGTATCCAATGACAAAGATTAATTTACAATTTTTTAGAAAGGTTATTAACAATGAAAATACTGTCCCCTTATGAAGTAAATGAATATTATCAATGACTTCTATTTCAAATGTTGACAACAATGATCATTTCATAACATTGCTTTCCTGAGTCAGCAGGCAAATTCATTATCTGAATTATGCACGCAATTTTTACTTTCCCTAAATAAAATTAAAAACAGGCCTCAGGAAAAAAATATACTTCAGTGGATGTTCACACACAAAAAAGATACTATCATTTAGTACAATTCTGATGAGTTTATTTGTGGAGACATCTACTGTTCATAAAATCTGACCTCAAAGTAAGGATTTTAGAGATTATCTGGCAAAAGAAGGGAGAGGAATTGTTTTGTCATAAAAACTGTGGCAGCACCACAAAGCGAAGTTACTCACCTTGGTGCAGTAACTGTTGTTCTTCAAGATGTGTCTCCCCGTGAGTGCTCCACTGTAGGTGCTGGGCTTGCCTCGGCACCGCAGAACGGAGATGTTCAAACCCATACCCGATTGGACCACGCATGCGCCAGGAGAGGAGAGGGGGTGTCTCACGGCGTTAGTGCTCTCCCGCACTGCACAATCCGGTCTTATCCAGTTTCTCAGACCCGCCTCAGGAGCTGCAATAGACAGAAACAGACTCCGAAGCGGGGAGGCAGGTGGGTAGTCGAGCACCCACAGAGACACACAACTCGAAGAACAACAGTTACTACATCAAGATGAGTAACTTCGCTTTCTTCTTCAAGTTATGTCCCTGTGGGTGCTCCACTGTAGGTGACTCAGTAGCAGTACCCACCCGTGGAAAGGAAAGTGGGATTTGGAGGCTATTATCTATTCATGGATGAAAGTACAGCAGATGCTACGGAAGTATCCAGAAGCCACCTGCGCTGGATAGCATAGTGCTTGGCAAACATGTTGTGAGAAACCCAAGTGGCTGCTCTACAAATATCAGAAAGAAGGACACCTTTCAGGAAAGCAATGGAAGTTGCTACCGCCATCGTAGAGTGGGCTCTAGGGTGCTGTGGAATGGCACATTTCATACAGCATAACAGTGGGTTATGCAGGAAACAATAATGTCGGATATCTGTTGGGATGATAAAGGCTCTCCCTTGGAATGTTCAGCAAGGGAGACTAGTAACCTGTCAGTTTTCCTTAAGGTTTCTGTGTGCTCTATGTAAAAGGCTAATGCTTTGCGCACATCTAATGCGTGGAAAACTGCCTCACATGATGATGCATGTGGTTTCGGGTAAAAAGCCGGTAAGACCACTGGCTCGTTAAAGTGGAAGTCCGAAGAGACCTTAGGGATCACGGCTGGGTGATGTCTCAGGATCACACTGTCTCTGTTAAAAATGGTGTACAGAGGTACTGCCATAAGAGCTGGAATCTCACTCGCACGTCACGCAGAGGTGATGGTGATCAGAAAAACCAATTTCATCGTGAGGGTCTGGAGAGGAAATGAAGCTAGAGGCTCAAAAGGTGGTGCTGTGAGAGTCCCAAGTACTAAGTCCAGACTCCACAAGGGAGAGGAAGTAGCACGTGTAGGCGGGTTCAGGTTTATTAGACCGTTAAGAAATCTCTTAGTGAGAGGGTGGGTGAATAACAATGCGCCATCTATTGGGTGTCAAAAGGATGTCAATGCCGCAAGATGGACTCTCAGAAATGCTAAGGCCAATCCACTCTGTTTTAGGTGCATCACATAATCCAGAATAACATGGATGGGTACTGTTTGAGGATCCATATTGTGTTGAGAGCACCAGGAGGTGAATCATGTCCATTTTGCAAGGTAAGTAGATCGTATGTTCTGTTTCCTACTATGGATGAGAATGTTCTTGACCTGGTCAGAGCAGAGAGCCTCGGAAGCATTTAGCCAACTAGGCACCACAATGAAAGGTGAAGTGTATGCAGCTGTGGATGTAGGAGAGAGCTGTGGTCCTGAGCGAGGAGGTTCGGGATTAATGGGAGGTGATATGGCGGGCATAGGGCCAGTCATAGGAGGAGTGGATACCAATGTTGATGTGCCCACGCGGGCGCTATTAATGTCACCGGGGCTTTGTCTAGTTTGATTTTCTGGAGGACTCTGGAGGTAAGACGCATAGGCGGGAAAAGCGTACATGAGAGGAACTCTCCAGTTGTGGAGGAAGGCGTCCCCCAAGGAATTGAGACTGAGGCCCACCCTGGAGCAGTAACGGTGACACTTCTTGTTGGCAGTGGCAAATAGGTCTATTTCAGGAGTGCCGCACTGTCAAAATATAGAAAGGAGGACTCCCTGGTGAATCTCCCATTCATGGTCTGTTGCGAAATTCCTGCTCAGGGAATCCGCTATTGTGTTGGTAAATAAGACGCTACAAGGGTTATGCTGTTGGCAATGCACCAGTTCCATAATTGGGTTGATGCTGCATACAGCGATCAGGACCGTGCGCCTCCCTGACGATTTATGTAATACATGGTCACTATATTGTCTGTGAGAAACCCCATGGTAGATAGAGTTGCAAAGGTATGTGTGAAAATGTCTGCAGGCGCTGGCAACTGCTCTGAGCTCTAGCAAATTTATATGTAGCAGAGACTCCTGCGGCAACCAGCGGCCTTGGATGGAAAGTTTGCCCATATGAGCATCTCAGCCAATGAGGGAGGCGTATGTGGTAATGTGGCAACGGGGTGGAGGCTGACGAAACCGGGTGCCTCACAAGAAGTTGTTGTGTCTGGTCCACCAGTGGAGAGAGGATTTGGCTACACAGGGAATGGTCACTACCCTGCGTACATTGTGCTTCATCGGGTTGTAGATTTTGTGCAGCCAGTTTTGTAGCGTCCGAAAATGTAATCTGGCCTGGGGTACGACGTATGTTGTGGAGGCCACGTGGCCCATCAATCTGAGCACTGTTATAATCTGTACTGAACATTTGTAGAAAAGTTTGTCTAGTAGTTTTTGTATTGTCTGAAATCTGTCGATGGGTTGGTAAACTCTTGTTGAAATGGAGTCCAGGCAAGCGCCTATGAATTCTATATTCTGGGTACGTTAAAGAGTGGACTTGTCATCGTTGACAAAGAGGCCTAAAAAAGGAAGGTTTCGCTCGTAATCCACACCATTTCGGACATTTCCGCCTACGAGCCTGCTTTTATAAGGCAATCGTCTAGGTAGGGGTATATTATCACCCCTCTGTGTCGCAGATGTACAGCTACTACTGCCAGAGTCTTTGTGAACACCCTGGGTGCTGTTGCGAGGCCAAAGCATAGAACTTGATACTGAAAGTGATCTGTACTGACTGAAATGTAGAAATTTCCTGTGCACAGGATGAATTGTTACGTGAAAATAAGCATCTTTGAGGTTGAGAGCAGCAAACCAATCGCCCCACTCCAGAGTAGGTAGTATAGAGGCTAAGGTCACCATCTTGAAGCGTTGTTTGCGGAGGTATTTGTTCAGCTGTTGGAGGTCTAATATTGGTCTCCATCCACCAGTTTTCTTTTGTACCAAAAAATAGCAGGAGTAGAATCCTCTCCCTTGAAATTGAAGAAGCACTCTTTCTATCACACCTATATAAAGCAGGTGGGTGATTTCAGTGCATAGTAAGTCCTCACGAGATGGGTCTCTGAAAAGGGATGGGGATGGTGGGGCAGTGGGAGGAAGAGAAAGAAATGGGATGGTATACCCAGACTGGATTATTTCCAGAACCCATCTGTTGGTGGTAATGCTGAGCCATTAATGGTAGAAGGGCCTTAGCTAATGGTGGAACACATGGAGGCTTGGGAGGGTTGTCTGCTTGCTCTCGACCAACACGTCAAACATGCTGTTTGCTGCCGGGTTGAATTTGTGTACAGCTGGTAGGGTTCTGCTGTCTCAGTGGTCTTTGACGTTGAGGATGACATGGTTGGTCGAACCGTCGTTGCTGGTGTTGCCACTGCTGTCTAGCGTGGAAGTAATCATACCATCTTTGGAATGGTGTATGACGCCTTCTTCTGAACGGTGGGGTGTACATACCAACGATGTAAGTGCTGTTCTAGAGACTTTACTAGAATGTTGAACGGAATCTGTCTTTTCGACAAATAATTTGTCTTTATCAAAAGGCAGATTTTCTACTTTTGTCGGCAACTCTCTAGGGACTCCTGCGGACTGAAGAAATGAGGCCCTTCTCATAACTACAGAAGTAGTGGTAGTGCAAGCTGCCGTGTCAGCGATGTCCATAGCTATTTGCAGACTTGCTCGTGTAGAAGCGTAGCCTTCCTGAACGATGGACTTGAGCAGCGGTCTTTTGGAATCTGGCGGTGCTTCCATTAAGGCAGTCAACTTCGCCTAATTGTCAAAATTATGGTTTGATAAGTGTGCGAGGTAATTGGCAATTCTAAGGAGTAGTGCTGAAGAAGTATACACTTCCTGCCAAATAAATCGAGCCTTTTCAACTCTTTGTCCGCTGCGTTGCTTTTATATTGGAGCGCTTTTGCTCTTTGATCCGCCTCATCAAATACAAGGAAGTTGGGTTGTGGGGGGTAAATAAAAACTGACCTTCTCGGGAGCACGAAGTACTTCTTGTCAGCACGTCTGTTAGTTGGGAGGGCAGAGGTTTGCCATAATTCACTGGCCACCTCTAACATCGCTTCATCCAGAGGTATAGCTAATTTGGCACTCTGGTTGTCTGTACATTCTTAAGTAGGCGATGTTGTTTTTCTATAATTTCAGTTAGTTGTATTTCCTGCGAAGCTGCCACCCCCCTTTTAAAAAGGTCCTGGAATTGCCTTAAATCATCTGGTGGAGAGACATCACCAGGTATGACTGCCTCATCCGGCGAGGAGAACTGATCCATGGGAGATACTTCAGGGGTTTGTGAATCTGCTGCAGTTAATTGCCTCTCCTCCTGGTCAGAAGGAGGAGGGTGGGTTGGCAGTGGGTCCTGATCTGGAAATGGAGGGGCCGACAGTGGGGGATGCCTGGAGGAGGAATATCCCGTAGTGGACCTTGGTGGGGATC